TCGGGACAAGCCATAACACTGCCAAGGGTGCTTGGGCAGTTACAGAAGAGCTTTTTGTTTTACAGATTTCAACCATATAAAAATAAAAGGAGGTGAACTTTGTAAGCATCCCTCTTAGCCTAAATAGTTAGTCTCAGTCCTTGTCACTGAAAGCTACGTAGGCTGTTTTTTACATTCATTCTGTCTTTAATGCTGATAAAAATGTGTTCCACACGGTAAAGTAATATAGCAAGTGTTCAGTAGGTACTCAGAGGTCTTCAAACAGGAATCCCGTGTGGAGATTTCCCTTCATTTTCTGTGACAGTTACTGGTACCATTTTGGACAGGGAGTTAATTAAATTCTTCCCAGCACAGACAAAGGACAGCAATTAAAATCTAACCCATCCCCATTCTATATAAAACTCAAAAAACATTTTGGCTAGGCTTTAAATGGTAGTCCTGCTTCAAAGATGCATGGGTACAAACTTGAAAACTCAAAATGGAGGTACCTAGACGCATTTAAAAAAAAATAATCTGCATGATTTTGCTTGGGAATGAAGCAGGAGTCAGACATTATGTTTTGCTTGTGACTAAAGTCCTGCTTTAACAATTATTTCAGATTGCATAGTTAACATATAAAGTTTATGAATGATTTTACTAGATGCACAGAAAAAGTATTCACCATATGGTATCTGAGGGTGATTTACAATAACATAATGAAAGGTAGACTCGTGTAATGGTCTTGTACTGGCATCTCTACTGAAAGTGCAATCATTACCTGTGCTGTTAATGAATCATTTTATACATACTCCTAATGAGATTAGAACTCATAGAGAGTTTTATTTTATAATATCAGGCATACAGGGTGGGCACACAGCAGTAGTGACCCTGATTGGTTATCATCTGTATTACCTTCTATGGCTGGGACTGGGGAATTCATGATACATATACTTTGCCTTCTGGGAGCGCTGACTTCTAGCTAACCCAAAATAGGTCCTATGCTTGTATATCCAGTACATCATACTTTCTCCATTCAAAATGCTACAAAATGGCTAGCTGTGTGGTTGGAGTGCCCCAAATAACTGCATGTAGCCATACTACAGAGCTCTACTGTTCACCAGAATATTGGTTAGTAAGAAAACCAATTTAGTAAATATATCCACAATAAGAGAGGGTTTTCACAGGCAGTGGTTTGACTTAAAATGTCATGTTGACCCAAGTTGTGGTGTTCCTTTTTAGTCTACTCCAGGGGTGGACAAATTAATATGGAAACCAGGAGCCAGTCTGGATTGACTGTCATTGAGAACAACTAGACAAAACCAGCAAAGTTAGGTGCCGGCTGTAATTTTGAAAGGGTATTGGCTACTGAGACCTGAGATTTGTCCAGCCCTGCTCTTGTTTCATCCCTTGAACACCAAGCTTTTAACAACCCTTGAGAAGGTTTTAAAGCACCCATAAGCTCCAGTTTAAGAATGTTAAACACAGATCCTAGACAGAGTGCTGACTGTCATTTTAAACAAGGTGTTAGTAGGCTTTAGCAGACTTTCAGCAAGCTTGTTTTACGTGGCAATCAGCACTCCCATTAAGATCTTTGTTTAACATTCTCAAACTGGAACTGAAGGGTGCTTTTTAAGCTTGCCGAAAGCTCTTCAAAAGCTCACTGTTCACGCTGGTCTTGTACAAGCTGAAGCCTGTGTGGACTAGGCCTACAAAAACTGTACTAATATACTATGGAAGATTCCATTAGTGACCTCTTCTGATGAAAATGCTGTAATGCTGATCCAGTGGCTTCAATACTTCCCGAGTGATTGACCTGGAAGAAGTTCTGACTTCAAGGATGCAGCTATGTTTTTCTCATATTCAACTCAAACATATTTGAGTTCTAGCCAGTTATTCTTACAGTGACCTAAAGTGGAGTTCTAACTAACTCTTCCTTCCTCCCATGGCTCACTGGTTACCCCTTATGCTGATAGATATCCTCACTAGCTAATGTTGGGGTGCAATCAGATAAAGATGGGTGTTTTAACCTCCCTGGCCAATAGTGAGGTGCGATAGGCAGTGGGGAGATGGGGGCTAGAGCACCAACTTCAGAGCCAATGTACTGTTGTATAAATAAGTGCTCTAGATTTCCAGCTACCTGGGGAACTCATGGGAACATCAGAAGGTATATCTAGACTTCTGTATGTGCCTTTTTTATTTACATATTATAGCAATTAAAACAAACCTGTTATAAAAGAAATATGGAGGTAACGTTGCTGACTTCCTTCTAGAACTACCAGTTGCCTGGTTATGTGGCTACAATGCTTTATCTTATCTTTTTTTAGCTTTTGTGAAGAAATCTGGTAAATCTCAGGGTACTTCCCACATCCAACCAGCCAAAAATCTCCAGGGCTTTTTTTGACCTGCTTGGGCCCTCACATGACTACCAGTGGTGTCTGCATTGCTAGTGGAAAGTGGTTATCCAACACTGCAGTCCAGGCCCACCATTGACTGGTTTTGTCTCTCCCCCTTGTTGTGATGTCACCATGCTACCCTTGAAGTCAGCAATGTGGACACATGAAGAAGGATTCTCCTACTCTGCAGTCCTTAAGAAAGTAGACTTGGAACTTTGACCATAGCACAGCCTTTTCTGCTGGGGCTGTTTATATTGCATTAAACTTTTCATCCATCCTTTAGATTATTTGTTCAGTTATTTTTAAATACGTTAAAGCTGAACTTACCTTCAGTTATGTACAGT